GAAAGAAAGAAAGAAAGAAAGAAAGAAAGAAAGAAAGAAAGAAAGAAAGAAAGAAAAGTAAGAACCGTGTTATCCAGAGGGGAAGGGGCAGTAAGGGTTGAGGCCAAGTATTTTGGTGGCGATAGTCAAAATTCTGCCATCAATCAAGAAAGGCTGTTAATAAAGGGGATACACTAGAGAGAAAATGATCACATATGTGTGTATAGAGTAGGGGGAAGGTAAGAGAGGCCAGCTATACCCATGGAAGCATAAAGAAGGGAAAACGCTTAGAAGACAGACCCAATGGCTGAATACTGCACAGGTTCAAGGGTAAAAACAGATCCTCTAATATCTACTCAAGCTATGTACCACTGCAGATATTTCCTGTTTGAGGCTAAGTATCTCAGTTATCTAGAACATGTTGTTACCATATCCCGGGGCATACGTTCAATTCATTCACCCACCCATTCATTTATTCAGCAAACATCTGAGATCCTCTAGTTACCTACCAAGCACTTCACTGATTGCTAGAAATATATGATTAAGACAGCCCTTGCCCCTGATGGGATCAGTCTCTAGGGAGAGAGGAAGATAAGCAGATAATTATCCTATGCAAGAGCGGTATGGATGACAGTACGGGGACATAGTAAGTAACCGGGGCCACGGTAACTAACCCGGTAGGTACAGTCAGGGAACACCCCCAAAGGAGACAACATTGTCACTAGGTCTTACACGATGAGTCAATGCTTGCTCCTCACTTCAAAGGCTAGGGCGAGTGCTAAGTGAGGATGGGTCAAGAAGGACAGTGGATGCTAAGCCAGGTGGTGAACTTCATACTGTAACCTGAGGAGGCATATCTGAGTAGGGTTTGTTTGGGAGAAATGACGAAGGCTTGAGTGAAGGCAGAACAGTGAAACAGAGGCGGGAGCAAGGAGTCATATGATGGGGCAAGCTGATCGGACAGGTGGCTGAATTGCTATGAGGAAAGAAGGGGGGAGACTAGCATGCCTCAGGCTTGGGAGACACCTCAGCAACCAGGAAGACAAGCCCAGGGGGAGGTGGGAGAGAGAACATAAGGGACCTGCTTGGAACACACTGAATTTGACATGCCTGAAGGTCATCCAGATGGAGCTGAAATACAGGTGGGGGGTTCAGAAAGAAGTCACGACTCAGAGACGCGTCTTAAATTTTCTCAATTTAATGCAATTTCATGCAGTTGTATTCTTTTCAATGGGCTAACTGATTAAACGCAAAACTAAATGTGGCGAACTCTCTACTTCTTAATAAGTTTTGTACTTTCTCTGCAAATAATACCAAATAGTAAAGAACCCCCCCCTGCCCCAAATAAAAATAAAAAAAACCTTGTAACTCCGATTAGGTTTGAAAAACACTCTCAAGGTTTCTCCATGGCTCAGTTTCCTTCTCTCATTTCTGCAGAGACCGCTCGGGAACCAGCCATGTCTCTTGCAAATGAAAGTTCTTGGGCACACGAAAGGACTCGGAAAGAGTGCTTGGATCAGCAGGAATCCATCATTAGGGAAAAACCACCTCAAAGAGTAGGGCTTAATGAATGTGATTCAAAGGCAGCAGATTTTCAAAATCATAAATCAGGATGACCGCTGGTACTGGTGTCCCAGGTAAAGACCAGACCCTCTTCGTCGTCTCCAACAGGGAACGCCGAAGAGCAAGCTGACTGCCACTCAACAACCCCCCCCCCCCAGTGTAATTAATACTACGGGTCCTCTACCCAATAAAACTGCAAGTAGTTACTCACTAAACTCAATCTTTAAAGTTCTACCTAAAAGCTCAGAGACGACATAAACCGTAAACAAGGCGGCCCTGGCATTTGTTCCAAAAAGCAGCTTACAGAAGAACAAATTCAAATCACCCCAGCCCATGCCTTTGCCACCCTAGTGGGCCAGCTACTTCTGGTTCTAAGGCCACATGTGAGCCTGGGTCAGGTATACGCTCAAACATTTTGGAAGTACTATCAACAGAAAGAGCTCAGTCAGAAAATTTCTTTTTTCTTTCTTTCTTTCTTTCTTTCAAAATTTTTTGAAGTTTATTTATTTTGAGAGCAGAGAGAGCAGAGGAGGGGCAGAGAGAGAGAGAGGGAGAGAGAGAGAATCCCAGGCAGGCTCCATGTTGTCAGGGCCGAGCCCGATGTGGGGCTTGAACTCACGAACCGTGAGATCATGACCTGAGCCGAAACCAAGAGTCAGACACTCAACTGACTGAGCCACCCAGGCGCCCCCAGAAAATGTAAATCTATCCTTCACACCTTACAAATCTATCCACCCCCCTCCACCCACCATCAAATTCTATGCTTCAAGTGTTTTGCCTAAATTAGGGATTTGGAGAATCATGAAAAACTCAAAAGTGCTTTTTCATAATTATGCTTAAGTGTCAGTCTTCGATGTCATAAAGGAGTCCCTGACATATATCCAGCAGGTATAAGTGAACTTATAAGGAAGGATAAACAGAGCTTTGATCAAATCGCTAATCACTCTTTGCAGCTGCAAACCCCTTGTTAAAAGATTAGAAATTGCAAGCGTTTATTTGAGCAAAAATCAATCAAATTAGGCAGTGCTGAATGGTAAGAGCCCTCCACTGACTGGCAGGAGCCGGGAACAGGCCACAGGCCTTCACAGGAAAAAGGCGGAAGCAAAGCAAGGCAAAGCAATCGTGGATCGGTCACAGCTTAAAATCTAGTTGCCTGCCTGCGACTGGTTGTCCTTAGGTTTCAGTTTTGTAACTTTTAGGCATTTATAGGCTTGGATTTGGGTTCGCTGATGGACACCACCACGACATCAGGGCCCCCTCCGTCTGGTGTTCCCCTTGCTTAATGAAGAATTTAACATCCCAGTAGTGATTATTCATTATCTTGTATGTGTGCACATAAAGAGGCACTACACAAGCGTCACACGCACACGCATGTATATATTCTTCAGAATTAAAAAAATCCGTAAGACTAAGTAATGTAACAACTTTTTTTTTTTTTTTTTTTTTAGTACTGTCCCCTACCTCAAAATGTTTGGCCATCTGCTGAATTCAGAGCACACTTCTCACCTGACAGAAAACATGACACGTTATCTTTAGAAGCACTTGTGTTCAGTTTTCGGGAAGGAAAGCTCGGCACGGGACATCCATTCACCCAGAAACAGGCCACATTTAAACAAGCTCTCTGGGAGGGACCAGAGTGCCAGGCACAAAACCTCAGATTTCCGGGCTGCACGAGGCTCCTGAATTCTGAGCTCCGGGGCAGAAAGGCCTCGGAAGCAAGGCAGACGGAGGTAAGGCTCCTCCAAGGAGCACAAGCCCAGACCTTTCTCTTCCTTGTCCCCTGACTACCTACTTCCTCAGTCCTCCATGTTGTGTTCCAGCTAAATAGCTGTGAAACAGCCTTCAATCCATTTAGTGTTGCAAATGTCTGGAGACGCTAAGTCCTTATACGCAGTAGCTTTGCCTAAATAGAGCACCTCAAACAAATCTTCAAGCTCAATTTTTTGTTTTTGTTTTTTTAATTTTCTTTTTCAACGTTTATTTATTTTTGGGACAGAGAGAGACAGAGCATGAACGGGGGAGGGGCAGAGAGAGAGGGAGACACAGAATCGGAAACAGGCTCCAGGCTCTGAGCCATCAGCCCAGAGCCCGACGCGGGGCTCGAACCCACGGACCGCGAGATCGTGACCTGGCTGAAGTTGGACGCTCAACCGACTGCGCCACCCAGGCGCCCTCGATTTTTTGTTTTTAATGTTATCTGGGCTCATCATAGAGCCTGACTCTGTAGGGTTCAGAGGAAATTTGATTTTCCTTTAAGGGATAACATCTTTTCCATAACCTCTATGAAGAGCTCATAAAAGATGTTCTAAGGCACGTAACAAATGAAATAGTTGACTTCCCCCACCCTGGCTGGTTCCTGTTGCTTTGAAATACTAAAAGCTAGGGTAGAATTGATGAGTCTGGGCTCTGGACTGAAAACTTACAACAGAGGGAATGTAGTAAGTGATTCGGGCTCTCAGGACACCCACAAGAGCAAGACAAAGCCAGAGGGAGGAGCAGTTAGTGTCGGACACAGACAGGGGAAGCTGCTAGAAGAGATTCCCAGAGAGATTCCTGCCTACTCAGTCTGGGTCCTGAGCAAACAGGAGCCTGCCAGTCAGTCTGGCAGGAAGCCCAGGAAATAGAGAATTAACACGGTCAAACCCATCTATTAGGGAGGCATGGACTGGAATTTCAAGTTGAGGAGGAAAAAGGGCATTCTGGGGTTTTCTCCTGAGATGAAGAAAAAGAGCATTGCTGCGTGACACCGTGAATCCATTACAGCGTGTTAAACCCGAGGCCACGACACCACAGGCGGGCATCACCTTTCTTAACATCCTGGCTAGATGAGGCCGGATGTTTAGTTCTTTGGGGGAATGTGGACGGAGACAGAGAGAAAGTGGCGATCAAATTATTTATATATATAAAAAAAAGAAATCGGATGCTTTTAGCAAATTTCAAGCAAGCACGGAATGGTGACATTATTCAAATAAATGGTAAGATACTAGGTGGGCGGTGACTTCTTAAGCTTTGTATAAATCCCAATACATTTCAGGAACTGGAGATCCCCTTATTAATACATATATTCAAATATTCTGAGAAGTATCAAAACAAAAATCTCTGAGAATATTATAATTTTAATGGTTCCTTATAACACGCAGCATTTATTAGTCTTTTAAAATCCAATAAATCCCCCTGCCTAGATTAGCCCTATTGACTAGATAAAAGTGATAGATGTATTCAAGAAAAAAGGAATAAAATGAAAAGTAAAAGGTTACCTTCCCATTCTGGCTGCCTCCCATCCAGTTTCTCTCTTTAAAGGTAACCACTCTTTTTTTTTTTTTTTTTAATTTTTTTTTTTCCCAACGTTTTTATTTATTTTTGGGACAGAGAGAGACAGAGCATGAACGGGGGGAGGGGCAGAGAGAGAGGGAGACACAGAATCGGAAACAGGCTCCAGGCTCCGAGCCATCCGCCCAGAGCCCGACGCGGGGCTCGAACTCACGGACCGCGAGATCGTGACCTGGCTGAAGTCGGACGCTTAACCGACGGCGCCACCCAGGCGCCCCGAAAGGTAACCACTCTTAACAGATTCTGGCATCTCCATCCAGGGAAAAATCTTACGCATGTAGTAGATAGACCGTGTCTATCCTTTGTTTTTAATTACAAAAAGCATAACCTTTCTTCACTTACACAAAAATGCTGACATTGTATATACTGTGCTGAAACTCGCTCTCACTTAACATATCTTGGAAATCTATTCGTATGCATGTTAAAGGCACTTCATTTCACCGCGCTTCCCTTTTTTACGCTTCGCAGGTATATTGCACCTTTTACAGATTGAAGGCTTGTGGCAACCCTGTGTCGAGCAAGTCCATCAACATCATTTTTCCAACAGCATTCGTTCGCTTCATGTCTCCGTGCCACGTTTTGGTCATTCTCGGTAATTCATTGCAATACTGCAACCTCCTCATCATTACTGCACTTGTTACGATGACCATTGAAATTGCTTTGGGGCACTGCGAACCACACCCATATAAGATGGCAAACTTAATCGATAAACGTGAGTGTTCTGATTGTACCACTGACTGGCTCTCCCCCCATCTCTCTCCCTCTCCTCAGGCTCCCTATTCCCTGAGACACACCAAAGTTGAAATTGGGCCAACGAACAACCCTATGATGGCTTCTAAGTGTGCGAGTGAAAGGAAGATCCAATCGATGTGGCAAGCTTCACTGTCGTCTTATTATAGGAAACTGCCACAGCCAGCCCAGCCTTCAGCAGATATCACCCTGATCAGTCAGTGGCCATCAACAGCAGACAAGATCCTCTGCCAGCAAAGAGATTACAACTCTCTGAAAACTCAGGTGATGGTTAGCACTTTTTAGCTACAAAGTATTTTTAATTTAAGGTATGTACATTTTTTTAGACACGATGCTATTGGACGCTTAATAGACTCCAGTGCAGTGTCAATATACCTGTTATATACACTGGGAGCCCAAAATATTCATTTGATTCACTTTATTGCAATACTCATTTTATTGTGGTGGTCTGGCACTGAACTCGCAATAGTTTGGGGGTATTCCTTCGTTAATCAGGTTGTAATGAACATCCTCAGACATGTCTTTGGGCTTTTTAAAATAATGTTTTAAGTTTGTTGATTTTGAGAGCGAGAAAATGTGAGCAGGGGAGGGGCAGAGAGAAAGGGAAAGAGAGGGCGAGAGAGAGAATCCCAAGCAGGCTCCACACTGTCAGCATGGAGCCCGACAGGGAGATCCAACTCATGAACCGTGAGATCATGGCCTGAGCTGAAACCAAGAGTTGGACGCTTAACCGACTGAGGCACGTGGGTGCTCCTGGACATTTTTATATAAATGTCTTTATAAGAAATTCTTGGCAGTGGAAAAGATAACAGAGTATCTGAATTTAAAAAAAAATGTGTTTAACGTTTATTTTTGAGAGAGACAGAGACAGACCGCCAGAGAGGGAGACACAGAATCCAAGCAGGCTCCAGGCTCCGAGCTGTCAGCACAGAGCCCAACGTGGGGCTTAAACCCACGAACTGTGAGATCTTGCCCCGAGCCGAAGTTGGATGCTTAACTGACTGAGCCCAAGAGTGTCTGAATTTTAAATTTTTGAGAGCTATTGCCAAATTGCACTTTAATTTCATGCCCACTAAGTTTTGTTTTTCAGATTAACTGGAAGTTTGTACCTTTTGACCCCCTCTCCCCATTTCCTGTACCTCCACCCTCTGCCTCTGGCAACCACCAATCTAGTGGACTGTTTTAACAAGCTTTCCAGGTCACTCCAACGAGTGCTGAAGTTTCAGAACCTCTCCTTTAACATCTCAAAATAAATAAACTAATAAAACATGATCTCCTTTAAACTTCCCAGCGATCCTCTGGGGCTGGTGCTTCCATTATGCCCGTTTCACAGATGAAGAAACAGATTCGCAGAGAGGGGTAAACACTTGTCCAAGGTCGCATACTTAGCAAATGGTGAAATTCAAAAGGGACCCATGATTCTAATCCCCTCTCTCTCTGTAGACAGGGAACGGAGGCCCTGAAGGGGCTTCCCTAGGGAGCGGAAATGCATTCACCTAACTCCAAATTACGCACATCCAACCCCTTGAACAATGCAGGGATGAGGGCCACTGACCTTCCCCTGGTCAAAAATCATGCGTAACTTTTGCCTCCCCCAAAACTTACTAGCCTCCTGTTTACCGGAAGCCTTACTGATAGCAAACTGCTGATTGACACATATTTGGTCTGTTATATGTGGCACATCCTGTATTCTTAACAATAAAGGAGGCTGGAGAAAATACAGAGTACTAATGTATTGCATTGAAAACATCTGTGCACCAGCTCAGGTCAAACCCGTGTTGTTCCAGGGTCAAGCGCATTTATAAACGTTTGTATATGTATTTACACTTATGGGCCAGAGTCTTCTGAGCACGGTGGAGTGTAACATCCAGACACCGTACTAGGGGCTGCAGATTCAAAGATCCTTCTGGTTCTCGTAGCCCTGGGGGGAGACAGCCGTACACGTGATTGAGTCATGGTGGGAGAAGCAGCTTGCAGAGAGCATCCAAGGAGGCAGGAAAGGCTCCAAATGACCCTTGGTCCATTAGGTAGGTAGAATTTTCTAGAACCCAGGAGCCAAATATTTGAGATTGTTATGGGGCAGGAAGCTGACGGACCGTTTTCCAAAAGTGTCCCGAGGAATCCGAGAGACGGAGAAGCGTAATAGGCGCCTGGAAAAGCCCCCTGTTTCTTGCATGTCTACCAGACGGGAAGGGGCTTCGCTCAGTGTGTGCCCTTAGCACGGGGTCATCTAAAATCCACTCTGCCCTACTTTTGTTCATCACTGTTGCTGAATCCTACGCCTCAGCAGGGGAAACCTGAGGAGGTGGGGCCGGGCTGAGGGAGTGCTTTTAGGAATGCAACACTGTGGGGAGGCACAGGAGTGGGGAGGGAGAGCCAGGGAGCCCTTGTTGTTGGGAAAGTCTTAGTTCCACCACTAAGTGGCTGTGTGGGCTGAAGAGAGCCTCTGTGTTTGAGTTCCCAGGCAAAGGGGGATGGGCTATAGTCCTTTGTTTTCTGTTGTAAATTTATGTATTTATTTAAGTAATCTGTACACCCAATGTGGGGGTTTGAACCCATAACCCCCAGATCAAGAATCGCACGCTCTTCCAACTGAGCCAGCCAGGCGCCCCTGGACTAGTTATTTCTAAATATCCTCTCTAGCTCTGTGATCCTACAGAAGATGGTTCAGCAAGCTTTCTCCGCAAAGAAATAGTAAATATTTTTGGCCTCGTGGATCATACATCTACCCTGCCGGAGAAGGAGTGCGCAAACCCTAAGCAGTTTATGTCCTTAATAAATAGAAGTCCTCTCACTTTGTGGCTACTGTTTCATGATCTGCCCCGGGCATAGTTTTCCTTTGTTTGAGCCTGGACACCAACTTGGGACTTCTTTCTCGGTTGCACATAAAAGTCCAGAACACGTCATCTCTGCCTTAAAGTGACTTTACAGACACCTCACTCTTCCTTGGATCTAGTTTGAAAGGTTTAGCCGAGTCTTGGCTTTAAAAAGTTTTTGTGGGGAAAAAAAAAAGGTTGCATGTGGATTCTTTCCAAAGCAGCTCAGAGACTTTTTCCCTCATAGTCTGTTCCCCTCCTGCCCCACCCCCTACCCATGACCACTCCCCACCCCTCCTCCTTACACTTAGTCGAGGCTTCCTTTCCAGTCCCTACAACTGGGCTCATATCAAGATAGCAGGGCTTCACCTCTAGCTCCTGAAAGTTCTATCTTTCCTGAATTGCTCTGCTTTACTTAGCACATCCTATGTTAGCTCTTAAAATCTAGCCTTCCATGGCTCCTCATTGGTCCAGAGGGTAAGGCTTAATTTCTGTCTCTCATTTTGCTACCAGTTAAAAAAAAAATCATGTTAACATTGTAGTGGTATTACTTGGCTCAGTAGATATGTTTTCAGTGAGACTGAGAGATCCAGAAAAGGCTCAACACTCAGATCTGGCAGGCTTCCAGCATCCTCTGCTATCAGCTTTGGTATCCTGTGAAACAGAAAATTCTGTGCTCATTCTTGATTTGAAAGTTTTTATTAAAAAAATATTTTCACGGGGTGCCTGGGTGGCGCAGTCGGTTGAGCATCTGACTTTGGCTTAGTTCATGATCTCACAGTTCGTGAGTTCGAGACTCACATCACAAACCCGCGGTTCATGAGTTTGAACCCTGTATCAGGCTCTGTGCTGACAGCTCAGAGCCTGGAGCCTGCTTCGGGTTCTGTGTCTCCCTCTCTCTGCCCCTCCCCTGCTCATGCTCTCTCTCTCAAAAGTAAATAAACATTAAAAAAAAATTTTTTTTAATGTCTTCTCTGGACATTTATTCCCTGAGCGCAAATAGATACTTTTTTTTTTTTTAATGAAAATAATGTTTCCAGCACTTAAAGCATTGGCAAATATAGTCATCAGTATGATTTTGAGGAGAAACAGAAAACCTGTCGAGTTGCTAAAGCAGTTATGGGGAATTTTTTTCTCCTGGATGAACGATAGCAATGACGACCACAGACACGGAAAACATTTTAACACTTCATAAAATTCTTTTCCGACAGCGGGAACATAGAAGCCAAATTTCCCTTGGCAGAAATTAAAAAAAAAAAAAAAAGGTTTAGCCGAGATGTTCCTAAGAAGTGAAGGGTTTCAGAAAGAGCTTTTCAGGCAGAAGAAACATGGATGGTGACACCATCCAGAAAGAGGGGTCGTGGTCCACGGAAGACCAGAAACCCCTCCTATTTCACTCAGGTGCTTAGTGCCCTGCCTGGTATGTAACAGGGACCAGTAAATACTTGTGGATGAATCGCATCATTCATTCAAACACCTGAGGTGTTACGGTTTTAGTCAAGAAAACAGATGAGAGTGGCCAGGGAAGGCGCCGCCTCTCTGACCAGAATCCTGCCCTGTCTATGGTCTGCCCCACCCCCGGGTGCATGCTGCCCACGCACTCTTAGGGTCGAAATGGGGCTTGAAACCCGCAGTGCTGCGTGCAGACACAACGTCCCCCCAGTGAGGCAGAAAGGGGGCACATGCATGGAGGGATATGTGACCTACTGTTCTGTGCTCAGCTCAGGAGCCTTGGCATCCTGGCTGGGT